TGAAGCAACGTCCTCCACAACTAGACTGAAGAACAAAACAACAGCAACTTGTCTGTTCCCCTTCCCCCAATTCCCCAGCACTGTTCCTATCCCCCAATTCCCCAATAAAAATCTTAAAAAAAAAAATGTTAGCAACATCATTGCAACAAGTTTGTGAACTTAATTGTCAGATATTGTATATTGCTTTTGTGCCATTGTAAAGTTGAGAAACTATAAGTTGAAAGTTAGGGACCATATGTACAATTTTTATGCCTCAAAAATAAATAAATATAAGGCAGTATAGAATCAGATTTTTTTATTCCTGGTTTATAATCCAATACTGTTATTTATTTTGTTTCTCTAATTGTTTCATATTTGGCCATTGAGAGCTTTTTCAGTTGGTTCCTATGTCCTTCCGACATGCCCTCATCTTTTTTGTTTTTGCTTTTGAGTACTTCCTTATTTTCTAGCACTAAAAGACTAAAAGATGCTCCAGGCTTATTTTATATTTTTCCTCCTGGTGCTAGACTTAGTCATTTCCTCAGGGAGCTCTGGTTCCTATGTTGCCTTCATTTTAAAAACATCTTAACGATTTTTAAGCGTAGGTTCTATAGTGTTAAGTATTGCTTTGGAATGAATATTTGTGTCCCCTGCACCCACAAGTTTGTATGTTGAAGCCCTAACCTCTAATGTGGCTGTATTTAGAGACTGGGCCTCTAAGAATGTAATTAAATGAGCTCATTATGGTGGGCCCTGATCTCATAGGATTGGTGTCCTTATAAAAGGAGACACCAGAGAGCTCTCTCTCTCCTCCTCTACACATGCACTGAGGAAAGCCTTGTGAAACCACCATGAGAAGATGGCTGCTGCAGGAGGGAGTTCTCACCAGACACCACCCCTGCAAGACACCTTAATCTTGGACTTCCAGGCCCAGACTGTGAGAAAATAAATTAATATTGTTTAAGGCTATGGTGTTTTGTTATGACAGCCTAAGCTGACTCATACAAGTGTATTCACACTGCTGTACAACGTATTTCCAGAAGTTTTTGTATCTTGCAAAACTGAAACTCTATAACCATTGAGCAACTCCCCATTTCTCCTCTCCAGCCCCTGGCAACCACCATTCTATTTTCTGTTTCTATGAATTTGACTACTTTAGATACCTCCTATAGGTGGAATCAGAGAACATTTGCTTTTTTGTGACTGGCAAATTTCACTTAGCATAATATCTTCAAGGTTCATCCATTTTGTAGGATGTGACAGGATTTCCTTCCTTTTTAAGGCTAAATAATAAATATTCCATTGTATCTATAGACCACCTTTTGTTTATGTTGTCTTCCTTTTAAAGGCATCAAAATTTGTTCTCATAAGCAGCTCAATTACATGTGGATCTTTTGGGTTCCGTCAGGCTTTGTTGTGTTCGTGCTGGTTAGCACTGCGCCACCGCTGGTCTCACTTATTCAGCTGTTGGCCCTGCAGAAGGCCATCTCAGCTAGGACTTGCAGAATCATGCCTTAGCTCTTAGCCAAGGGCCTACGGTGAATTCCCACACAGTCTTCTGGACATCTCTGTCCACGCAGCTCTATGTTGTCAGTTACCCTGCCCTTCAAATTCCAGCCACATAAGCAGCTCCAAACTTGGAGCTCTGTCTCCTCAGCTTAGTGAGACTGCTACTCTATTTAGGATTCATTTTCCTGCTTTGTGCCAGAAAGTGGCCTTGATAGAATGCCAGGGCGATCATTGCACTCACCTTTGTGTGTTCTGTTCTCTCAAGGATCACAGAGCTTCCTGTGTTCTGTGCCTGAAAACAGTTGCCTCATATATTTTGTCATGTGTAGTTTTTTGGCTAGAGGTCAAGTCCAGTACTGCTCTGTTATGACTGGAAACAAACTATATTAGTTTTTATTAATATGCCCTTCCTGTTTCTCCTCTTTTCTATCTTTATACATGCTACTTTGGTGATCTTTTCTGTTCCTAGAGTTTCAATTCCCTTTCCATTTTTCTTTAACTTATTATTAACCATTCATCCATTAGAAATAAATTACTAACACTTTGGTGTGTGTTTATTTAACGTGTTCCCTTCCATAGTTGTCTTTGCATATAAAAATAAGAGAACAGGAGAGAAATTTAATGGAATTCCTGACACTGTGAAGGGTAAAGATTAGAGCATAATTGGGAGAATGTTTTAGGGGACACAGGGGCACAGAATAATCACAAAACATATACTGGGCAATAGTCCATTTCTCCCATGGTTCCAGGCAGATGTAGCCAACAGTCCATGTCTCTATCACATAGCACTACCCGCAAGGTCCGAGAAACAATGAATCCCATCTCATTTGGCATGCATCTATTTTCTCCAAAGGAAACAAAGTAAATACAAAATCTGAGATAAATTCATACCTAGGAACTACTCTCATTTTTATTCCAGTTTACATAATCAAAATTGATGATTAAAAAGCAACTTTTGGGCCGGCCGAGTGGCGTGATGGTTAAGAACTGGCTTGGGACGCCAGAGGACCCCGGTTTGGATCCCAATATGAGGGCCAGTGACACTGCCCTCCACAGCTAAGATGCTGAACAACAGCTCAACCTGGAGCTGGGTTGCCGTGAGTCACCTGCGACTGCGTAGGCTGCAGCCCCTGCTGCAGTGGGTTGCCATGGGCTACCGTGTATAGCCAGCAGCCAGTGTGCGCGGCCAGCAGCTGCAGTGAGCGGCCGTCCAGAAGCCGGCGACTGATGTGCCTCGCCTGGGAAGAGCGCAATGATGGTGCCAACTTGGGCCAGTGAAGCAATGTCCTCCACAACTAGACTGAAGAACAAAACGACAGCAACTTGTCTGTTCCCCTTCCCCCAATTCCCCAGCACTGTTCCCATCCCCCAATTCCCCAATAAAAATCTTAAAAAAAAAAAAGCGACTAACTCTAGCCTTTGTCCCTGATCCATGGCAAAATACATTTAAAAAAAAAAAAAAGCAACTTTTCCTTGCTCTATAGAATTAGGTGAGATGGGGAATCAGTTTAGATGTATTTAATGAGCATGTAGAGAGTGTGGTGAGGTAGTTTATATTCTAATTAATTTCTATAGGCAGCCCCAGAATTTGATCATTTCCTGAAAAATTACTTCTGGTTTTGTCATGCTGGACCATTGAAAAACAACAACAACACAAACCAAAACCTTCAAGTTTCCTGCTACCAGTACACAGATTGGGCTGTTTCCTCACTAGCGCACATCTCCTCACACTTGTGTAATTTTACTCTGTCAACTGAAGTGAAAGAGATGGAGATGATCGACAATGCTATTTATTCCGCATTAGAATTGTCCACTGCACCCGAAGCCCAGAATGATGACAGACCACAGCAAAAAGGTGAGTTAACCAAGTTAGTAGGAAAACTGTGCTTAGTTACCATAGGCAAAGGGATGAAAGGGAGGTAAGATTAAGTTTAGAGGATGCAGAAAAACTGAGTCATTTGAGGAAACACTTTAGTTTCAGTTTGACGTCCAGAGTTGGATATGAAAATTTGGTATATGGTCTGGCTGTTTAAATTCTAGGTATCGCTGTTTTTATAACTAAGAAATGAGGAGAAAGACACCAATAATTTTGCTAATGGGTAGTAGTAAGGTTTTATCAGAAGAGAAATTGATTCATATATCTAAGCTACCCCCCTTCCCCCCAGTGTTGCATCAGAATGGTGATGGGTATGGGGAACACCATAGATAACTAGTCCCTGTGACTCTTCGGAGATTTGAGGACTAAATAAACCACTTTTACATAGAGCCCTGAGAGAACACTTTCTGAGAGAGGCGGATAATAGTGTAAGCACCAATGTTAACATTTGATTTTGCATCTTAGGTAGTAAACTCCCATAGGTATGTTTTTTAAGGGTAACTCCATAAGCTTCCTGCTTTCTTACTATATAGTCTTATTACAATTTTAATACTGTTCTTTGAAATGTCCAATGCTGTATAATTTATGATAATAGAAAGAAATCTCAATGCCCATGTATACTGGATTGATGTAGCAAATTATAACATTTTTCTCACAGAGAAATTGCGGAGTCAAAGAGTAAATTACCTTTGTAATTTTGGTAAACATTGCCAAATTGTCCTGCCAAGAGGTTGTACCAATTTATATGTCACCACTGAAGCATGAGATTTTGTAAACCACAATTTCAAAGGAACAAAAAGTATTCTTAGCTTGATAAATATAGTATGTTCCTTGATAAAGATGTGAGTGGTTGCTCTTGACAGATCCAGGAAAGGAGTCTTTATGTCCTGGGTCTCAGTTCCCACTAGACCACATGGCTTCAAGATCCCAGATATCCTTCCCTTCCCTTCCCTTTTCTTTTCCTTCAGCTTTTATTGTGACTCAGGATCTTGCTTTGGATTCTGTTTTTGCAGCTTCTTGTTCCAGGTGGTTGCACTCCTGCCACGTGGCAATAGTTTTGGGTCTTGTGAGTGCCATTCTTCTGAGTTTGCTGCTGTTCAAATGGATTCTGTGCCAGGGTAAGTGTTAACTTAAACTGAAAATAATCTTTCATGTATGAGGTGTGATAAAAAAATATGGTGAGTGTTTAAAATAAAAAAGTGTATTATAGTAAAAGACACATGGCCATTAATCCCCCTCAAAATACTACCCCTCGCTTTGAACACACTTATCCCATCGTTCTTGCCACTTTCAGAAGCAGTTCTGGAAGTCCTCTTTTGGAGGTGTCTTTAGTTGTGCTGATGTGACTGCCTCGATGTCCTGAATCATTTTGACTTTGGGGAAGAGCCAGAAGTTACATGTGTGCCATATGCCAGATCCAGGAATAAGGTGGATTAGAACACACTATGATGTGTTTTTTTTTTAAGATTTTATTGGGGAATTGGGGGAGGAGAACAGTGTTGGGGAATCAGGGAAGGCGAACAGACAAGTTGCTGTCCTTTTGTTCTTCAGTCTAGTTGTGGAGGACATCGCTTCACTGGCCCATG